TTTACTTCCTGTGACGTCATGTGTCTTGCAAGATATTTCAAGATCATGCATGAATCAAGATGCTGTTGAAATATAATATTCGTGATCACACATGATCTTTCATGCTACATGGTCATGCATAATTTTCAAGATCAATAGGTTTTATAAGAAGCACAAAAAGTGCATGATCATGAACTCAGGCATGATTCGCATTCATAAAAGATCTTACAATCCTACAAGATCTTAATGTGATGCAAGATCTTTAATTTACATGATCTTGCATTCTTACAAACAATACAAGATCTTTATTCATACATGATCTTGATCTCATGAAAGATCTTGCAATAACCAACATTATTTAAGATCTTTAATTCACACATGATATTGTAATTTTACAAGGTCTTGACATAATGTGAGATTTTTAACTTACATTTGATCTTGCAACCATAAAAGATCTTGCAACAATCTTATGAAGATACATTATCTTGCAATCTTGCATGATCAATTTAAATTCAAGAACATAAAAAATCTTGTAAATAAGATTTTAAGTGATCTTACATGATTAAAATCATGTAAGATCATGAAAATTATTTCTAGTGATCTTGCAAGATTGTGCTAGGCAAGATTTTACAAGATACCTATTCATGTGACATCTTACATACATCTTACTGACCCTTATAATATCACACAAGATCTTGCTAAGATTTTTTATGAGGGCACCATTTTAATAATTAAATAACTACACCACTTTTAAAGCTAAATACATTCAATTAGGAAAGGGGAGAAGAGAGAGAGAGAGAGAAAGGGAGGGGGAGATAGAGAGAATCTTTAATATATAAATAATGACTTTATTGACATACATGTACAACCACTAATTGATGAACGACTAACAGAAAACATACATTTAGCTAAACTATCACTGGTACTTGAATGCTTGTATGGAGGATTTAGTATATCAGTTATGTCTTCAGTTTTAGCTAATGTTAGGGCAGTACTGCCATCTTTTCCTTGAATTTCTGGATCAGCTAACCAGTCTAATAATAATTCAACTATCTTTTTATGGCCATTAGCACTAGCAATCATCAGAGGTGTATATCCTTTCCTGTCTTGTAGATTAGGATCAAGATGTACTTGTTCCTGTAGCAACAATTCAACTATTTGTTCATGACCTTCACCACATGCCAACATAAAACCATTACAGCCATTTTCGTTTTGAAAATTAGGATCAACTTTTTCCTTCAGCAGCAATTCAACTATTTCAGTGTGGCCATATTGACAAGCCAACAAAAAAGCTAAGTTCTGATTATTAGAATCAACTTTTTCCTTCAGTAATGATTTAACTATTTGGATATGGCCATTTTCACAAGCAAACATAAAGGCATCCATTCTGTCTTTCTTTTTAAAAACTTGTTTCTTTAGCAACAATTCAACTATTGGAGTGTGACCACCTTTACAAGCCATTATAAATGCATTCCAACCTTTTTTTTCTTGAGCATTAAGAATAACTTTTTCATTCAGCAATATTTTAACTATTTCAGTATGACCATTCCAACAAGCCATCATAAAAGCAGTCCAGCCATCTTTATTCTGAACATTAAGATCAACTTTTTCTTTCAGTAACAGTTTAACTATTTGAACGTGACCATTTTGACAAGCCAGCATAAAAGCATTCCAACCTTCTTTGTTTTGTATATTAGGATTAACTTTTTTATTCAGCAACAGTTTAATTGTTTCAGTGCGACTATTTTGGCAGGCCAGCATAAAACCATTCAATCCATCGCTCTTTTGAACATTAGGATCAATTTGTTCATTAAGCAGTAGTTCCACTATTTGAGTGTGACCATTTTGACAAGCCAACATAAAAGCATTCCAACCTTCTTTGTTTTGTACATTATGACTAACTTTTTTATTCAGCAACATTTTAGCTATTTCAGTGTGACCATTTCGGCAGGCCAGCATGAAAGCATTTACTCCATCGTTCTTTTGAAAATCAATATTAATGTTTTTCTCTAGCATTAGTTCAACTATTTGCGTGTGGCCATTTTTACATGCCAAGATGAAAGCATTCGCTCCATCATTTCCTTGAGCATCAAGATCAACTTGTTTTTTTAGTAACAGTTTAACTATTTCAGTGTGACCCTTTCGGCAGGCCAGCATAAAACCATTCAATCCATCATTCTTTTGAACATTAGGATCAATTTGTTCATTAAGCAGTAGTTCCATTATTTGCATGTGGCCATTTTTACATGCCAAGATGAAAGCATTCACTCCATCATTTCCTTGAGCATCAAGATCAACTTGTTTTTTTAGTAACAGTTCAGCTATTTGAGCATGGCCATTTTGACAAGCCAGCATAAAACCATTCAATCCATCATTCTTTTGAACATTAGGATCAATTTGTTCATTAACCAGTAGTTCCACTATTTGAGTGTGACCATTTTGACAAGCCAGCATAAAAGCATTCCCACCTTCTTTGTTTTGTACATTAGGATTAACTTTTTTATTCAGCAACATTTTAGCTATTTCAGTGTGACCATTTCGGCAGGCCAGCATAAAAGCATTTACTCCATCGTTCTTTTGATAATCAGTATTAATGTTTTTCTCTAGCATTAGTTCAACTATTTGCGTGTGGCCATTTTTACATGCCAAGATGAAAGCATTCACTCCATCATTTCCTTGAGCATCAAGATCAACTTGTTTTTTTAGTAACAGTTTAACTATTTGAGTATGGCCATTTTGACAAGCCAGCATAAAAGCATTTACTCCATCGTTCTTTTGAAAATCAATATTAATGTTTTTCTCTAATATCAGTTCAACTATTTGCATGTGGCCATTTTTACATGCCAACATAAAAGCATTCACTCCATCATTTCTTTGAGCATCAAGATCAACTTGTTTTTTTAGTAACAGTTTAACTATTTGAGTATGGCCATTTTGACAAGCCAGCAGAAAAGCATTTGCTCCATCTTTTACTTGAGCATTAAGGTTATTAATAACTTGTTGCTCCTTCAGCAACAGTTCAACTATTTGAGTGTAACCATTTTGACAAGCAAAAATAAAAGCATTCCAGCCATTTTTCTCTTGAGCATTAAGGTTATCAATAACTTCTTGTTTCTTCAGCAACAGTTCAACTATTTTAATGTGGCCTATTGCACATGCCTGCATAAGAGCAGTTGAGCCATCTTCTCGTTGATAACCAACTCCTTTACTAATTAACAGTTGGACAACCTCATAGTTACCATAGTGACTGGCAATCATTAAAGCATTTAATTCATTTGATGTCTTCAGGTGAGAATTAGCATTAGCTTGTAGTAACGTGTGAATGATTGAAATATGATTATGTTCACTTGCTATCATTAGTGCAGTCCATCCATTATTGTCCTGAATGTTAACATTAGCTCCAGCAGACAGTAAACTGTCTACAATGTCCTCATGTCCTTTTTCACAAGCTAACATTAGTGCTGTCTTCCCTTCACTAGTATGATCAATATTAACAGTTTCTAGTTGAAGAAGAAACTCTACTACTTCATAATTACAAACTGTGACTGCCTCAAGGAGAGCTAGTTCAAAGGTGAAGTTCATATTCTCATCTTCTTGAAGGACAAGATGATCATCAATGTGTAAACTAAATATACCAATGAGATGCATAAATTCTCTCTTTTTTGCACTATATTCTATTAGACTATCAGCTGTAAAATTAAGAATACGTAGTGTGATGATAATGCACCCTTTCCTAACAGTGATACATTTCATTACTGACTGTTTAAATTCTTCCGGAATCAAACTTTTAATGAGAATGTATAGTACTTTAATTTTAACATTGTGCCAACGATTTTGAACTTTAATATTGATTGAAGGCATATTCTCCAGTTGGTTTTTGTAAGGTTCACACACTTTGCATATCTTTTTTTTGAGTTCAGAAATTGGCTCTGATGAACAAAATTCATCAGCTTTTATTAAATAAGTATTCAGATCATCAAGTAGATCTTTTTCATCACTTATAAACTCAATACACATATCAGCTATCAGACTACAGTCCACAAAATCATAATAAGGATATATCTTCTTGAAAACAGCATCTAGATCATTATCCACTTTGTCAGGCTGCAAGTGAAGGTGACTTTCTACCCAATCAGATATTTTAGTTGGGAGTTCATGGTCATTAGTTACTTTTCTACGAAAAACTGTCCTTATGTCTTTCATTAAGTGGGAGAAATTTCTTTGTAATTCTGCTATAGAGTCTTGAATTTTTTG